GGGGGGGGGGGGGATGGGTGAGAAACTCTAGTGCATTAAAGTGGGGACTGCAATTCAAGTTTACCAAATCCTGGGGGGACCTGACATTGATGGAAGACACATCTACAACTTTCAAAAATCATGATGAGGGTAAAAACAAAAAGAAATCAGATTTACATAAACTTCATCTTTGAACTTATTTATGAAGTTATCAAATACATCATTTCTGAAGTTATTCAAAACAATCACAGTACATGTTTCATCAGATCTATTAAAACACTTGGGTATTGCCTTGTGTTGTAAATCTGATAAAAGGTTGCTGTTGGTGCTTTGAATATATTCTAATACAATATAATGACATTTAGATTTAATGTGTGAATTAAAAAATTAAATGTGAATTCAAAAATTAAATGCGACTGTGTGTAGTACCCTTTATTGCCAATAAAAAAGAGTTGCACTATAATTATACTTGACTACAGTAATTGGCGAGTGACTAATTATTATCATAACTTCAATTTGTTCTTCTCCATTTTGGCATCCTGTGCCATCTCTTCTGGTACCTGTATTAAACAGATAAATCCTGCAAAAAAAAGATAACATTATACCACAATCATGTTATTACACATCTTTAGTAATTAACAAAAATATAATATGTATTACTGACATATATGTTAACCCTTTAAGTGGCAATGCACCCTCATGTACTTTAGGGGAGAGCACTGCCACTCAGTGGGTTAATCAGACAATCTTCTGCATTGTTATGCATGACTATTTTACTCGTCAAGGGGAGAGTGCTCATGGCACTCAATGGAATATAAATCAAACTATCTGCATACCCAATTATAACACCAGATTATACTCGATCTGTCTAATGCTAGACAATTTTACTTGTCAAGGGGAGAGCACTGGTGCTCCAAGGGTTAAGGCAAAAAAGTTGAATGAACTATGATATCCAACAACATAAAGTGCATGGTCATATGGTGGCAACCTAAATCCCCCCTCCCCACACACACACACAAACACACAATAACCACTGCTCTACAACCCCATATATAAACACTGCTACAAAAAGTCTGGCAAAAGTAGGACTTGCTTGTCCAAGCTCAGTGAGACTCCCTCAATGTGGGGGAATGCAATGCAGCCTTGTTCACAGGATATGAAGTCTGTGCAGTTTCTGGACTATCACTTGCTGCTAAACCTATTGAGAGAGATTGTTAAATCTAGCTTAAAAGAAAGTTTCAGTTATAATACCATATCTTGTCTCTAAAACACATAGGCAAGCAATCATGCTTATCCAACTTTTGCGTACTGCTTTGAACATTGTTATTTTGGGTATTTTGTTCTCTCTGTCCCACACTTTCTGTCTTTGTGCTTATCTATATATTAATCCTGATTCACACCATATATAATCTGTACGATCGTGTGAGAGCAAGTGAACAACCACAATTATAATAAAATTATAAATTATTAAAAACTGGCAATAAAAAACACAAAACAACATAATTTCATGTCCACAATTTTCAACGATTATAAACAGGACTTATGTGTCCGTAACCCCGGTTCCACAGGCTCTTTAATGTGTCTGCTATTGAAATATTTGCTGTATATATATAGTAGCAGCATGAGTTTTTGACTTTAATATATTATAGTCATTTGACTCTTTTCGAGAGTCATTTAATATCTAGCAAGGTTCTACAAAGTAAAAATAGTTTCATGAATCTTACCTGAAAGAATAGTTAATCTTTCTTGATAGTGAATTGTTGCATCAACAAACGAAACAAAACGGCACTTTTCCTCCACGTCGTATTAAAAACAAGTAAAGTGCGAGGGAAAGATTTTCTAGCTCAAAAACAACCGAAAACCTCTAAATTCTGAAATATTTGTGTAAAAACAGGGGGGTGCGAGACTTTGTTTAATGCTTTGGATCGCGGTTGGTCAGTGGCAATTACCATGGAGACTTCGGACCAGTTGTCATGGAAATGGCGTAAGCGCCGCCATGTTTTTGGCGACACTCTTTCATGCCGAGCAGGTCCTCCAGTAATATAGTATAGCTCAGTGGGTGAAATACGGAAAATACGCGCACCTGCATGGCCCCGGATGTAGTGACGTATGAGTTCTACGAGTGTTTTAGTTTCCAGTAAAACACCATTGTCCATATAATAATCATAATTATTATTAAGTAGGAATAAATCTTAGCTAAGCTACGACACGTTAGTGATTAAACTCGCCTCGTACATGCTTATTTTTTCTCCACTTGGTATGAAAAGCATGTCATTCAATAGCTAAAAGCCTGATCTTTCCAAATATGAAAACCAATTGTTCATACGCCGAGTGATTCACGTATAATAGCGCGCTGAAGTTCGATTACCTTTTTTTTATACACTCTGTATAGTGTATATATTTTCCGTATTTTACAACATCTCGCAACCAAACTTTGCAATTTTACTCATTTTGGTATGCTTTTTCTCGCTGTCGTGATTTATTATATTTGCATCTCTTTGCCTATAGTTTTAAAATTAGTCTATAATGGGGATTGTCTATTTAATAAACGAGCAGGGGCGTTTTATTAGGTTTAAAGCCACGAGCGCGCAGCGCGAGTGGCTTTAGACCTCATAAAACACGACCTTCGAGTTTATTAAACGGCTTCAAACACGAACGGCTTCAAACACAAATTCAATAGATTTACTGCCTTATTAGTATTCTTCATATAAAGAATACTAATGAGGACACGACTACAATAGATACTGCCTTATTAGTATTCTTTATATAAAGAATACTAATTAGGAGTGTTTTATCAGGTTTATTAAAACCACTGCACGTGACATATTATGGTTGACATGATTTGCCAATGTGTTTGAATGAGTGTTTGTATGATATGTTAATAAGCTAAAAATCAAGTTCACTTGGGAGAACAGTATTTTATTGATTGTGGCTCCTGCATGTATCAATAAAGCTTCTATTCTATTCTATCAGATTTCTACAACACTTAATTTTGTGCACAATAAACGTGTTTATAGCCACTTTATGAATTATATTATACTTTTAGGTCTTTTTATTAGCAATAAATCTATGGTTATTGAAAAAATTCTAAGAAAATGAGAAAAAATGAAAATATAATTAGAAGGTACCTTTATGCGCAACTGACCAGACTAAAAAAGAAAAGAAAATAGTTATTTATCTCACAGTTGTTGGATATATATGTATATGACTAAAACATTACATTATACTTTATTTTTAACTGATCATGCTTTTCTTGACTTTCCAGTTACCATGCATGAGCATAAAATGCAAATGTCATAAATGTTGTTTGTGTATAGATTCAATTTAGCTATTTTAGTTAAATGTTTCACATATAGCATAAACATATTATAGTGAGGCGGATATGTGTAAACTTATTGATCAGTAGTTCCCGTTGAGGTTAAAAGCATCAAACTTTTACAATTGATGTAGTTTTATTTGCTTAATAGATATTTGAAGTGGGGCCATCGCTATTTTGCTGCTAACTCCTGAAAACGGGTGATTAGTGATTTTCTTCTATTGAATTCTATTATGGCCAAAAAATGTGAAATTTTCTATTCAATTACAACAAATATGAGTTGCATCATCAGAAAGCTTATAAAAAACTGCATATAAGACGTTTAGACAGTTTTATGATTTCTGAAATAGTTTTCGAATTACAAACTGTTAAAAACGCATTTTCAAACATCGAATAATTAATTAGGGACTTTTAGCGAGATAATGTGCCTAATTTACAGCAATAACCATTTGAAGAATAAAAAAACTGTTTAAAAGTCTTTTATGTAGTTTTTTTACAAGCTTTCTGATGATGCAAGTTATATTTGTCGCGATTGAATTCAAAATTTCACATTTTTTGTTGTAGTAGAATTTAATAGCAAATAATGCTAATAGCATCGTAACTTTCTAAAAAACAGTTTCACAATGGTCCTACTTTTGCATGTTGTTCTACTCATAAAAAGATGCTACTGTGCACAATTTGGTGCTTTTAACCCTCTTCGGAAACATAAATGCACATATCCGCCACACTAGTAGTGTAGTTTTCCTTCTTTTCCACCAAATTACGATTACTGATAGGATTATTGTTGATAGGATCTGGCGAGAACCTAGACCCAATGGATTGTTATTCAATATGATTATTAAACAATATACGGTATGTCTAACCTCCACTACTCTGTATATAAACAACATCCTCAAATATGATCCTGTAGGTTCGTTCGGACAACCCCAAACCACTGGCCGTGGGTTCTAATAGTTTCTTGCCACTCTGATGAAGACCTGAATAACTAAACACCTTCCCACTATTTAGTTTTTCTAATAGATCTTGATGGTCAAAGGAATTGCTGGAAAAATTCAACTCTTGTAGGTTGCTGCATTCTTTGAAATCAGGTAACTTTGTAAGACCACAACCAGACAAATCCAACTTTTTCAACTCATAGCGAGGTAAACATTCCAAGGAAGATATATCTAAATTGCTTAGAGGGTTGTTAGATAGATTCAGTTCTTCCAGTCTATGATAGTCATGAAGACCCTCGGGTAACTTTGTAAGACCACAACCAGACAAATCCAACTTTTTCAACCTATACGGAGGTAAATATTCCAAGGGAGATATATCTAAATTGCTTAGAGGGTTGTTAGATAGATTCAGTTCTTCCAGTCTATCATACTCATCAAGACCCTCGGGTAACTTTGTAAGACCACAACCAGACAAATCCAACTTTTTCAACCTATACCAAGGGAAATATTCCAAGGAAAATATATCTAAATTGCTTAGAGGGTTGTTAGATAGATTCAGTTCTTCCATTTCCTGATAGTCATGAAAACCCTCGGGTAATTTTGTAAGACCACAACCAGACAAATCCAACTTTTTCAACCTAAACGAAGGTAAATATTCCAAAGAAGATATATGTAAATTGCTTAGAGGGTTGTTAGATAGATTCAGTTCTTTCAGTGCCAGATAGTCATGAAAACCCTGGGGTAACTTTGTAAGACCACAACCAGACAAATCCAACTTTTTCAAGCTAAACGAAGGGAAATATTCCGAGGGAGATATATCTAAATTGCTTAGAGGATTGTTAGATAGATTCAGTTCTTCCAGTCTATGATAGTCACGAAGACCCTCGGGTAACTTTGTAAGACCACAACCAGACAAATCCAACTTTTTCAACATATACCAAGAGGGATATTCCAAGGAAGATATATCTAAATTGCTTAAAGGGTTGTTAGATAGATTCAGTTCTTCCAGTCTCTGATAGTCAAGAAGACCCTTGGGGGGTAACTTTGTAAGACCACGAGTAGACAAATCCAATTTTTTGCGAGATCTCTTAGAGCTAGTTAATACATGCGATATGTCTGAAAGGCTTACGTGAGGTTTGTTACAGAGATCCACTTTCGAGGGGTTGTATGAATAATCTGTTTCTGGTTCTTGCTTGGGATTTTTTATGAGGCTGATGTCTTTAGTCTGACGTGGGTCAATTTGCGACGATGGTGAGCGAATGAAGTCCTTAACATTTTTCTCTTTGTCGAGTTTAGTTGAAGCATCTATTGTTCCTGACTCTATATGGGAAAATGGTTCAGCCATAACTGCAGACGTACAGTCATACCTCTACAAACAAACAATGAATTTGTGCTAGAAGTTGTTAATTTACCGTATTCCCTCTTTTTAGCCCTACTCCCTCTTCTAATTAGCCCTCAGTCCAGAAGAAATAAACCGCCACTTTCTATTTAGCTCCATCTTCTATTAATACCAGGGTGTGACCAGGTTTTTTCAGGGGCGATTACCACATCCGGCTGCATGAAATTACTACATTGGGTCAAAAATTACCACGGTAACATATTTTTCCCAAAAATGTTGGCGAGTTGG